CAGCCCGGCCCCGCCCGGGCCGTGACGCAGCTCGGTGCGACCGGGGACACCGGGCTGGGGCGCGGGGGGACACACCGAGCGCCCCCTGACCGCCAGCCCAAGCCAGGCGCCGCTCCTGCACCAAAATCGGCTTATTCCACCCCAAACCGTGATGTGTCAGGAGCCAGGAAGCTGCGCCAGGACCTCGCTGACCCCAGCAGTGCTTTTCGTGCCAAAACCTCAAATTTCTAGACTTTTGGATGCGGGCAAACGGCTGCAGACACAGTTATGTGTTAATTATTTCCGAATGCTGCTGCAGCTCACAAACATTCCGTATTCTGGGTTTTTTTTTGCCGTTTTTGTTTGTTTGTTTGTTTGTTTGTTTTTAATCCAGAGAGGAATGCTGCGCTTTCGCAGAATTCCTCTTACTCTCCACATTCCCTTGAAAATTTAGGAGATTTTTTTTTCTTTTATTTTAAGCAACCATTTCATAAGAACGAAACCAACAGATGTAATTGGTGAGACACACAAGAAACCTGCCAGCCTGGGAAGCGGCACGTGGCAGGAGCAGCACACGAATGCTCTGTGCTCTTATCTCCACCATCCCAACCTTTTAATTTCTTGGTAGATCACTGGGAGCACTCGTTTGGAAGCAAAACCTGCCCCTGAAGAGCGAGGAGAGCGTGTGGGGATGTGGGCTGAGGGAGCACAACACCCCAACCCACGCAGGAGAAGCAGCTTGTTAAAAATCAGACCCTTTGCTGAGCAAAGCTCCTTTGCTTTCCCCAAACATGGAGGTTTTGCAACCCACATTCCTTATTGCTTAAGCACACACATTAAAAAAAAAACATCATGGGATGTTGTTGGAACGACCGAAACCTGGAAAAATAAAGGCGAAAAATCTGCTGTCACAGATTTAACCTTACCTCTGACCTGGCAGCCTGGGCATTGGAGAAGGGAATTAAACCCAAGGTGCAAGAAACCTTGCAGGAGGTGGTTTGCCAACAGCTTTTGGCCTGAAGCTGGAAAATTTACATTATTCCCCAAATCCTGGGGTATTTGGGGATGAGGGCGATGCCTCCCATTAGCAAGACCACCCCGCAGGGACGGTGAGCTCGCCAGGACCAGCATTTGCAGTACTCACCCAATTCACAACTGGGCGAGCTCTGCTTGAGGGTGTATTTCTTGGGCATGGTGTTCCTGCTTCTCTCTCTGGTGGTATCTGGGAGCAGACAGCCTGCTCAAGGATCCTCTCTCTATATAAGAGGTGTCCCCACCCTTCCCTGCCAGTTCCCCTCCCTCCCTCCTCCGCCCGCAGCACCCGCACTGATCCAGCGGTGCAGAGGTCCCTGAGGGGAGCTCAGGGGATGATTCAAAGTCTCCTGAAAACAACTACATCTGCTTCAGCCTTATCGTTTATTAAAGAATGATAAAACCCACCAAGTTAAGGGGGGTTAATAGGCCAGGCGACCGCTTTGAGGTGGAGCCTCATCTCCATGGCGAGCTGCAGCGCTGGGCTTGGGGGGAAAGGTGGGTTACGCGCCGTCTGGGGCTCACTATCAACCCAGGAGGCTCAATTAAAAGGCCATTTGGTTGAGCATCAGACGAGCTCTGGTAATTAGAACACGAGGCGGCCTGGACTCTGCTCCACCGGAGCTATTTGACAAATTAGAGGCCAAACTGGCACTAACAAGGCATTTTCCAGCTGCTGGTACGTGCAGCGCTGATAAGAGCGATCCCTTCCCGAGTTGGATCAATACAATCTATTATCAGCCATCCCCGCTGCTCTGAAACCTGCCGAAGCAGAGCGATAACTCTGGGGTTTGTCCTTTTATTTTTCCCCCCTTTTTTCTCTGCAAAAGGGCCTCCGCTGCCTTTTTCTGATAAGCAACAGCTGAATGTGCAACGCTTCAAGACTCACCAGGCAGGAGAGAAAAGGCAAACGTGTGCGTGACTGGCGCAACGTGCTCCAGCTTCCCAGGGCTGCTGGAGGGGAGCAGCGGGGTTTTGGGGTCCGGCTGGAGGGGGGAGAGGGGCCTCGGCTGGGAAAAGCATCCTCAGGGATTCAAGGGAGGCGAAGAAACTGCCAGAGACCTGGGAAGGGGCAACATAGTGCTTGGTTTTAGCGATGCCTGGGGGGAAAGGAACGGGCAGACCTTACGGGCAGGGGCAGAAGCAGGGCTTGTTTCCCTTCAACACCATTTCTTCTGGCACTTAAGAATCGAGAAAACAAACATGACCCATATGAAACTACCCGGGGGCAGCTGCAGAACTGGTTGAGCCGCTCGGTGCGTAGGTTGGCCGAGGGAGGGACGGACAGACGGAGGCGTACAGCGTGGCTGCGGTGTCTGGACCGGGGAAACTGAGGCAGCGCAGGGGGAGCCACCGCGGGGCTCGGCACCCCGCGGCCCCTCTGCTGCCGCGCCGCTCCTCACTGGGGAGCCGTGGGCGGGGATTGGGGCTCCCCCCATGTCTGGGGCCGGGCAGCAACCACCCAGGGGGGAGTTGCAGCCCCG